ACCACAGCCACAAACATATGGGGTTGGCATGGCAGCCAACCTATAATTCCAGCCATCTCGGCCAGCTCTGGGTTTGATTGAGAGAGCCTGCCTCAGTGCCTAGGTGGGAGGGCAAAGGCGCTTGCTGACACCAACCTTATGCGGTGCTCATGCACCCACATACATGCAAAAGCATACACATAGGTCTGCGTGTCATACACACATGCAAAGTGGGGGAAAACAACTACGACAATGACAGCAATAGCAGCCACCAAGATCAGAAGCCCCCAGTTATAGTAACAGGCTGCAGAAGGAATGCGCTGGCCCACACGAATGTTGACATTAAAGAGCTTTGAATATTTCTCTCACAGATGGGAATGGATTCTCTCTCTCACGCACAGGTTGTTACAAAGTGGGTCAGTGCTTTATCTACTCGGGTTCATGCTGTGTGATGCTGTCTGCAGAGTCACAACAGACTGGGAGACCTTTGCCAAGTGTGGCCACCCTGCATTGAACTCCCCAGTCTCTAGTAACATGAGCTAAATATAAATTTCTTGATAAGTTACACAAACTCAGGCATTCTGTTACAGCCACAGAAAATACAGGGGGACAAGTTCTTGGGTCCTTGTCCCCATGTTGCGAGTTCTCTCGGGTGGAAAGGCTTGATTGAAAATGTTTTGTCTCGCAGACACCAGCTATAGGCATGGGCCCCCTCTCCACTGTATCACCACATAATCTGTGCCCACATGGACCAGGCACTTCACTGGAGGGTGGGGCATAGTTGTAATAGGCAAAGCTAGCTATATATCCAGAGGGGTTTTCAGGATGCAGTCAAAGCCTTCCCTGGGTTCAGCTCCCAGCACCCACATGGAGGCTCGCTACTGACTGTACCCCCAGTTCCCTCCTCTGGCCTCGCTAGTACCAGGCATACTTGCAGTACACATACATTCAGGCAGACACATGTTCACATGAAATAAAAATAAGTAAATATTTGGTGGGTTGTTTTGTTTTCTAAAGACGGGGTTTCTCTCTGTATTCCTGACTGTCATTCAGTAGACTAGGCAGCTGTGAATTCAGAGATCTGCCTCCCAGAGGACTGGGATAAAAGGTGTGTGCCACCATGCCTGGTTAAGTAAATCTTTTTTTTTTTTTTTTTGAGGGGCTCTAAAGGACTTGCTTGTTAATTTAAAATTAGTAGCAATAAAAAAGAGGGCAGTGTTTCTGGAAAGATCTATAATTACAGTTAGACAACAAAAGGAGAAGGAAGTTCTGAATAGGAAATACATAGAGACAGAAAGCAGGTAGATGATTGCCCTGTGCCTGAGAAGGGAGAATTGGGAATAGGGTAGTGGTTACAGCGTTTCCTGGTAAGGAAGATGTTCTGAAATTTATTGTGGTAGTTGCACAAATGAACATGCTAAAAGCCACTGAAGTGTTTTTCTTTCTTTTTTTTTTTTGTTGCTGAAAATTGAACCCAGGGCCTCACACATGCTGAGCATACAATCTGCCACTAGCTATGCCTCAGCCCCAGACTCTGTCCTATAGATGAGTAAATTGTATGTGGATCACATTCTCAACAAAGCTGCTTTTTTATATTTTAAAAAAATAATAACAAATTTACATATGAGAGAAATAGATTTTTACAAGAATTTTCCAAAGGAAAATAAAGACTAAGAAGAAGGCTGTTTCCTGTTGCAAATGTCTGATGCCTTGCTCCCTAGCAGCAGCTGGTCTCCAGGGCTGCAGCTGCTGCGTGCCGGCTGTCACAGCAGGTTGTTGTTCGGCCTGGGATCTGTGCAGAAGGCTGGGGTAACAGGTTATGTCACTGGGAGAGGCCCTTGAAGACTCTCGGATTTCTCAAGGATCCCGGGCTCCTCCCAAGGACTTTAAAGGCTCTGACTTCCAGTTTAAATCTATGCTTGCCCTTTGGAAGTCCATAGCCTTGGCTGTAGGCTCATTATTTCTTGTCCCATTGCAGAATGTTCCCCACACCTTATCAGAGCTCATGTCATGTGGGGCCCCACCTCCTTAAGATGTCCTGTGTGCCTGCCACCTCTAGACACAGCCTTTCAAGTCAGGGAACAGTTTGTGGCTTGGGGCTAGCCCAGCTACACCCTTCTAGCAGAGCTCCCACCAGCAGTGACTCAGTGCCTGCTGTTGGATAACACTTGCCCAGACTTTCTGGTGAGCAGCCATCTGTGCACACAGTTCCTAGAGATGTGCTGGTTAGAGCCACGCTACCGTGAGGAAGATCAGATCTCCGGGTGCCTCGCTGGTGCAAGGCAAGCCAGCCCCTCCGGAGCTAGCACCTGCAGGGGCCACCTCTGGATTTGATTCTTCCAACGCCTTCTCACAGTACTGGTGTCCTCGTACCTACAGTCAGGGGAGCTGCTTTCCCCAGGGCTGTGGCCCAACCTGACACACCCTGAGGGGCTAGTTAACTTCTCTCCCTCATGTCCAGTTTATGAACCATGACACAAAAGTCCCCAGTGCACTGTGCTAGAGAGAGAGAACTAGAGAAGAGACCCAGATACTAGGGTACGTCCTGAAGTGGCACCAATGTCCTTGGACACAATTGCAGCCGGAAATCAAGCAAGTAATAAAGAACAAAAAAGAAAGTTTGTGTCCGGCCCCAGGCTGGTGTTTTCTGCTATAGCCTTTAGACCTTTGGAAGCTCCACCCCAGCTGGAATTCTTTGGGGGCATCCTCCTCCCACCAAAGAGCTAGCCACTGTCAGCCACAGGGCTCCTGAGTTGAGGGGCAGAGGAAACAACCAAGAGTAGGCCCTTGAGAGGCGCAGTCTGCACCAAGGCAGGCCTGCCCAGTCTTTGGGTTAACCAGTGGTGTGTCTTGGTCTTTCCTAGAATAGGATGGCCTGGAATGTGGGAGGGCCTGCAGAGTTGGGACCCAGTGTGACTACACGGAGGGTGGGAAGCCACCAATCTTCCACTTTCGAACTCTTTGGAAATAGTTTGTTTATTCATGTGTCTGAGATCAAGAGCTTCTTTGCCTCCCTCAGCACCCCCTCCCCCCGCCTGCCGACCCCAGGACCTCAGCACACAGTTTGCTAACTTTTGTTCTTGACCTGTCCATTTCATCGGAAGAAAAAAAATACATCCCAAGTGACAGGGGGACAGGGGTTTCTTGCTAAGTGAGCTAAAGAGTCTACAGGGGCCTGAGAACATTAGTTGTGAATCACCCCAGGGACAGATGTACGCGGGTGAGGGACAGACACGAGCATTGCATCATCAAAGGGGAGCAGGACAGAGGAAGAGAGAGCCCTTCTCTGGGCACGGCCTTTATTCCCAATAGTTGAGAAGCTGAGGCAAGAGGGTTGCAAGTTTGAGGCCAACCTGGCTGCCCTAAAGGAGAAGAAGAGCAAGGAAAAGAAAAGAAAAGACCCCCATACCCTTGTGCTCCTTCCCCTAGCTGTGAGCCTAGCCTCTAGTCCTGGGGATCACTACCATGCTCCCCTCCTTTTCTCTGCCTTCCTGTCCCCAAGAAGGGAGCCTTGACCCATAAGCAGAGGTCAGACTGAGAAACTTAATGCTAGGCTAAGGCCCTTGGACCACGAGGCCTTCTGATGCCCTTGGAATGTCAGGGTAGAGGTGTGTCTTCCTCATTCCTGGGTAATAGTCCTGGAGTTCTGCACAACCCAACACACCCTCTGACACGGGGCCAACAGGGAATTGGTAGCCAAGGTCCCTGTCCTGCCCTGGCGGCTGTATTTTCTGAAGAGTTGAAGGACTTTCAGCACGTTCTCAATGGCTCTGTGGGTCAAAGGAACTGCAGGTGTGGCAGGGAAGGGGTGAAGAGCAAACGGGGTCAGGCGGGTTTTGGGGGAACCACAGGGGGTACCGATCTCTGCCAGAAGCATTGGACTTGTTGCTTAGTTCTGTTTCACTGATTTCTGATGCCAGGGTCACTGTCTCCATTATACAGAGGGTCACGGGCCTGGAGCTGTTAGGCAGATTACGTGAGGGGTTGAACAGGTAGAGGACAGAGGCCAAAGCAAGTGTTACAGTTGCCAGCCAGCTCTTCAGAAGGCCCTGTGCTCAGCCACATGGCACCTTGTGCCACTGGGTACCAAGCAGACTGACGGTGAACATGGCACATAGCACCCTGTTTACCCCCAAGCCTGGTGCCTGCCCAGTGGAAGGCAGAGCTCTCCAAACTGGCCCTTAACCCTGGGAGATAGAGAATACTCTAGGAAGTGCCCTACAGGAGAGGGGCTTGGTGCCCTGGCCCCTCCAATCCATGGTGCATTCTTCTTTGCTCTCAGGTGCAACCGCCAAAACCCACAGCCCCCTTTCTGTCCTGTATCCATTGTCACTGGCCTGGCTCACCCCTAGCGGAGGGTGAGGGGTGAGCAGGCCTTGCAAAACAGAGTGGGAACTGAGGCCTGGGTCCACCCCCCTCCCCAAATGGCCACATTGTAGGAAGCCAGCCTCTATTTCTTCATCTGCAGGTCCAGATTTATTGATTTGCTGCTCCTTCCTTAAGGTGTTTCTAAGATTCTAGGCCTGAGAAAGGTGCCTGAAGTTAAGACTACCCCACCAAACGTCAAGAAGGCCCCCCTCCCAGAGCTCGGCCCGTTGCCCCGCCTCTTACTCAAAGCCAGCAACTTTTAGTGCCTAATCCAACAATCCCAGGTGGGCTGCGTCCGCCCCATTATCTCTGAGCAGAGAGCTGTGAGCTCAGGACCCTCAAAGTTGGGAGAGGGTTGGACTGGCCTGTGCCTGGCATTGTGTAAGAATCTTAGAAAGTCCAACAACCCAGAACAGTGGAAACAGAGCCCTAGATCCTGCGACTCTTGGCCACACTCCAGCCATCCTTGAGCCCCGGGGGAAGCTCTGTAGATGGAGTGCAGTGCCCCCTGTGGGAGGGAAGAGTAGTGTCTTTTCCTCATCCTTCCTGAAGTTAACGGCCAAGATACCTACAGTAAAAAGTTCCCAAGAGGGAAATGCTCAAGGTAAGTTGGATGGCTCTTGACCTCTGGGCGTTCTCTTCCCTTTCAGGACCTGGGCATGGAGTCAACTTCGCTGGATGATGTGCTGTATCGCTACGCCAGCTTCCGGAACCTGGTGGATCCCATCACACACGACCTCATCATCAGCCTGGCCCGCTACATCCACTGCCCCAAGCCGGTAGGCAGTTGTGGTCTGAAGCAGCCAGGTCCTGCCGTGTGAGCTAGACCGCTTTCTAGATGGCACAGACCTGACCATGGTTGCCCAGGGAGTTGGATTTCGGCTCAGGGGAAACTTCTGAGGTTGACCCCATCTGTGGCTTCCTTTAGGACCTTTTCTCTGACTGCCTGGTGTCCAGATCTAGAGAGGAGGGAAGCTGGCTGTAGAGGATGCAAACTGGTAGAGTCAATGGAAGACAGGCAAAGAAGCCATAAGTCCAGTACAAGACAGTAAGAAAAGCCAGTCGTGAGGGTTGGTGGCCTGGGAGAGGAGCTTGTTGGTGCCAAGAGCCATAGGGTACCAAGTAGCTGAAACCGAAACCCTGGTGACCAGAAAAGTACTAGAAACGGGCCTCTGAGGAAGCCCTGCAGTTGACATACCTGTCTTTTCTATAATAGGAAGTTAGTTGGCCAAAGATGAGAGGCGAGGCATAGCAGGTAATAGAGCTCTTAAAAATTAACGAATAATAGGTGAGTAATTATCTTCATGTCTATTTGAGAGCTGAGGGAAACAGTACGAAATAGGTTGTGCCTTTCGCGAGGACTGCAGAGGTGATTAGGCCCGCCCTGCAAACCTGGGGCTGGGCAAGACCTGAAGTTCTAACTTCCTCACCAGGCCCAGTGACACAGGAGCAGGCTAGACCAGGAGAACCTAGCGCTCCTTCGCTTCTGCCTAGGGGAGGTGGGGACCACGTCAGTCAGTGTTACTCAGCGCAGGCTGCTACACAAAGTACCATGGCCTGAGGGCTTCCAGAATTAATTTCTCACATCTGGCTGGAAGTGCAGGGTTGGGGTGTCTGATGGGAGCCTTGTTCTCACCTCAGACTGTTGCCTTCTCCTGCGTCCTCACGTAGTAGAAGGAGGGTAGGAAGGCTCTCTAGACCCCTCTTAGAGTAGCTCTAATGAGTGCCCACAACCGAGTCGTCTCCGGAAGGCCCCACCTTCCGGCACGTGAATGGGGTTGGAGCACAGGCGTTCAGTGCACTGCATGGTGTGACCGTCCCCACACCACTAGGTTTTCAGGGTTTCATTGTCCTCAACCCCAAAATGGATGTTAAAGCCGTCTCCCTCCTGCTGAGAGGTAAAGGAGATAGTTCTCGCGAGACGCCTGCATGGGCCTTGTCCAAGTGGCCACCTGTGCACAGGAGCTGGCCTGCGACACCTGCGTGCTGTCAGGGTTCTTAACTAGTAGGGCAGTGTAGGAAACAGCAGCAGATAAAATGTGGTCCCCACAGGTCTGGTCTTAGGAAACAGCAGGGTTGCTCTCTGACCAGGATTTCTGAAGCAGCAGAATGGGCGCAGCCCTGCTGGGGGTTCAAGGACCAGTCTTGGATGCTCTGGGACTTCCCCAGGTGTGGGTGGGCCAGAGATGGAAAGAACATCCGAACTGGTAAGAAGGCAGCCCTACCCCAGTCGCCTGCACTGACTCGGGGTTGGCTGGGCTCCCTTCTCGTAGGTCTTCGTATCAAACACTCTCCTAGATGCTCACGTTGTGGCCTAGATGTGTCACAAGATGGCCAACTGTTATGGGAGTCTGTTCATATCATGGTGGACCAGAAAGAACGGGAAAAGGCTAGAACTCTAGAGACCTTCTACCAACCAGGGCCCATCTCCTAAAAGTTGCACAGCCAAAATGTTCCCACCAGCTGGGAAACAAGCATTCAAAACATGAGCCAGTGCGGCCAGCCGGTGGACATTGGAGATTCAAACCACACTTGCAGTGATTTAGCCCCTCCCACTAGACACCTCTCCTAAAGTTCTGTCTCCCAGTGGCACCAAGCTAAGGACCAAGTCTTCAATGCATGGCCTTTTGTGGGTATGTAAGATCTTAATGATCCCACATTTGCTTGGTGGTTACTGTATGTACTGTCTATTTTACCCACTAGAATAGAGACTTAAGCCTTTAGTACTAGCTCTGGAGTGTAGAGCAGAGGCAGATCTCTGTGAGTTCGAAGTCAGCCCAGTCTATATCGCAAGTTCCAGGTCAGGCAGAGCCACAGAATGAGACCCCGTCTTTTTATTTAAAAAAAAAAAAAATACGCTAAGGATTATCTATCCATCCTGTTCACAGTTTTGTCTTATAATGGGCAGGAAGCAGCATGTTCCATTGTGAATTTATGCATGTACATGTGTGTATTCGAGTGTGCAAGCATGCATGAAGGGGTAAGATGTGAGCTTGTGTCCAAATGCATGCCTGCACCTGTGTGCATGTGCTCATAGAGATCGTGGTACCCTTGGGTGCCTTCTGTTCTCAGATGTCGCTACCTTTTATCGAAAACAAGGTCTCTCACTGGCCTAGAATTTCACCAAACGTGGTAGACTAGCTGCTTCCACTTCCCCTCTCGCCTCTGCCGGAATGACAGTCAGGTGCCATGACCACTGTCCTCTGACCGCCGTGCATGTGCCATGGCATTCACATGCACCCACACACTCATCCTCATACATACACACAGACATAAAAACTTAATTTAAAACAAGTAAGTAAAAGAAAACCCCAGAGCAAACATTTGTTGTTAAACAGTCTCTGCAGGGCAGACATCCAAGGCTATAAGTGCCGGGCTTGACTGGCGTTCATTAATGCACACCACGGGGTTGGTGGCAGGAGGCCTCGGTTTGCCATGTGGGTGTTGCCCCAGGATTGTTGAGTGTTCCATACCACAGAGCTAGCCAAGATACCTGTCCTAGAATTCACATACCATCCCTCTGGCCCTTCTGTTCTCTTGGTCCCCGAGACGGTTCTGATAAATCTTGGAAAGAGACTGCGTGGAGCTGGCACCCGGGAGCCAAGGGCAGGGTGGTCTGGGAGGTTCCCGTACATGCTGGATGAGATGACTTGGCTCTTTGCTCCTCCTGACCCTCGATTGCTCCCATTAACTGAGCCCAGCTAGAAACCAGGGACAGGAGAACCTGGGTGATACACTTTTCAGGACAGTCCCTGTAAGCAGAGAAGGACAGAAAACAGACTGGGGTGAGGGTGGCCAAGGAAAACAAGCAGGCAGTCATCTAAACAGTGTCCAGTGTGTAGTAAGTGAAGCAGGTCGAATCTGATTAATGAGTGAGTACATTTATGAATGAGGGAAGCCTTTGAGTGGCAGACGGGGTTGTTGGAATCCTAGGTGCTGCTACAGAGGTGCCTGGGGAATGAATGTGGCAGATGGCGCCTGTCTATTGAGAGACCAGGGAAGGCTGTAGGTCGGCCTTGAGCCCCTGAGCCTCTTTCCAACAGATCCTGGGGGAAGTCCCTCAAACACATCCTCCGGCAGTGTTTCAGGACAGTGTCACTGGGCAGTTCTGGAGAGACTGCGGTACTGGAGTCCTGCCAGCTCGTGCCTCCTTTTCTTCCTTTGCCGTGGGCGGGAGGGAGAGCTGCTGGGAGTATTCCACGGTCCTTTTGCATGGTTAATCGCAACCAGCAGACACCCACGCAGTCCAGCCTCTTGTGGACCCAGAGGCAGTTTAGCATTATGGAGGCTTTGGAACTACTGAGCGAGTCCGTCCATCCCCCGTGCCTCGTTACACAGTTTCTCTTCACAGGACTCATTCCCACCCTCCCACATGGTAGGGACTATAACTACCCACGGGCCCTGTTCTCTTGCCCAGGTTCCAGTCCCTACAAGGCGTCTCGTTTTCATTGTCCCATTCCATGCTGGGTTCTCTTTTAGCCACCACCAGCACCATCCCCCTCCCCCCACACACACACATGCACGCACGCACGCACACATACATACACATGCACACACATGTACACACACAATCCTCTGGGCCAGCCCCACTAGATCCTATTCTCTTTGGAAGAAGGCCTTTAAGGAGCCTGAAAGGGAAGGAGCTGGGCAGAGGATGAAAGCATCTTGAATGAATATGCAAAGGGCAGGTTCGTAAGGAGGGGAGTACAGTGGGTAGGTTGGTAGGAGCTAGGGGACAACGTCTGGATTGCATGTTGAACTGTGCGCCTCCGTACCTTGTTAAATGGGAGTGGTGGGACTGCGCCCGAGTGGAGGAAGGAGATGCATAATGATTTCTAGACACTCGGTAAACTAGGTAAACGTTAAGGGCCGGAAATGTGGCTGGTGCTAGTGTGGGCCTGCCATCTGAAGTCAGAGTGGATCCCAAACACCACAGAAACAAAACAACAAAAGACCCATGGTGTACCTAGTTCCTGCAAGCAGAGGGGAACTCGTCCCTGTGCTTTCTTACAGTTACTCTCGATTCTAATTGGCCAACTCAGCTGTTGTCCCTGTTTAGCCAATGAGAAGGCTGAGGTTGGCTCCAACTCCCTCTGGTAGCAGCAGCCTCGCCCTGTGCTCGACTGCCCTCTTGTGGCCGACGCCGTGCACTACCCAGCCCTCTTTATGCCTTTGTTCTCTTAAGATTCAACTGCCTAAGCTCCTCAAGTTTGGACAACTGAGTGAGAGGGCGCGGCCCCGGGTATTCAGAAACCCAGGGAATTGATTGGAGGAGGAGCCAAAGCAGAGGGGCTCTGCTATGGGCTTTGGGTGGGTTTCTTCTCTGTTCCAAAGCATCCTAAAATGAACCTGGGCGTGCCCCCATTCCCATCCATTGGCCCTTCTGGTTCTTAAGGCTCCTGAGCCCGTGCTTCTCCCCTGTAGTGCACAAAGGAATCGCTCTCACTGCAGGACTGGGATCCGGAAAGAAGGAATGCGGAGGCAGGGAGCAGTCGGAAATGGGAATGAGACAGACAAAACATTGCGGTTTTCCCTGTGTGTGTGTCGTCAAAGCAGAAGGGGGCTGCTCAAGCGACAAAGAGACCAGCAAGTGAGAGGAGGAGGGTCAGAGGAGAGCCTTAGGGGAGAAAGTATGAATAAGCTGTAATAATGTGTGTGTGAAAATGTCATAACGAAACCCATTATTTTGTACACTAACTAAAAATAGAGTTAATCCACCGCCAGGGGACCCGCCCACTCACCGCTAGCGCCAGTTTTCTAAGGTACCCTGGGAATCCAAGATGGGAAATGAACTCTGGATGTGGCATCTCTGTGTCACGTCCTATCCTCAAATCCCATTCTTTTGCCACCAAAGTCAGGTGTCACCATTACCAGTCTGCACTAGTGCCCCTCACGCCGGCCAAGCCTGTGCTGGGAAAGGTCCTCATTGGCCACACAGTGGCCACCAAAGGTGACCTTGGCCGCCCTCTTCCAGGTGCCCATTGTTCCCCTCACCCCATTTCTCTGTGCCTTCTCTGTCTCTTTGCCCTGTGTTCCCTCCACTCCCCCCTCAGCTTATTCCATGGTCAGAAGTTCGGCCACCCTGAGGAATCCCAGCTGGAGACCCCATGGGCTCCTCCTAGTCAGCATGTCCCCACCCTGCCTTTACACTTGCTTTTCCTCTGAAGCCCTTGTCGATGCAATCAGTCCTAAGCCAGAGCCACTGAAGAGAGAAAGGGTTTATTCTGGCTCACAGTTCGAGGGGACAGTCCATCACATGGGGGACGTCAAGGTGGCAGAGAGCTTGACGTAACTGGACACCTTGCACACGCCATCAAAACACTGAGTTACATGCATGCGTCTGCTCTGTTGAACAATGCCTCTTCCCACTCCAGTTTACATAATCAAAATAATGCCCCCACAGGCGTGCTTAGCAGCCCGTCTCCCAGGTAATGCTGCGATCTGTCACATTGGCAGCTAATACACCACAAACCCTGTGTTTTCTGCCCAGATTGCTAGCCCGAATCCCCTATCCCTTCATCTGCATTCTGCCCACACCTTCTTGGACCTGTGTATGACCTCTGTCATTTTTAGTCCCTTCTGTGAGCATGGCCTCAGTCACCTTCCCAGCCCTCCCACCCAGTAAGAAAACCCCAGGATATAAACCCCGCCCACCATTCCTCTCTACTGCCTCCCTGGCAGCCCCCAACAATGCACCCTCTTGTCTGTGTTACTTGCTCCCACCTGTGTGACTAGGCTAAGCAGGAATCTGAGTCTTGGAACCTGATGTCTACTCTAGGGGCTCAGAGAGACTACCTGGGGTGGACAGCTGACTCCAGTTTGTCAGTCAGGCTACACAGCAGAGAGGGGTGAGGCTGAGGAACTGGGTGCCCTCCAGAGCAGTCCCGTCAGTGGCAGAGCCACCCCGTGGTTCCCGTTTAGATGCTTCACTTTTCCATTGATGGCACCCCCCAACACCTGCTCAGACTTCCTTTTCTTGCCGTCTGTCAGTGCCCTCCTCTGTATACCGAGGGTGACCAGCGTTGGTAGTACTCTGGAGTGTGGGCATTCTGTAAAGTTCTAGCTTGGTGCCTGCCGTGATCTAGGTGAGAGATAGGGTAGGTGTGGACAAGGGGTAGGATGGGGATGGCTGGGTTTGCCTGGGCCAGATTCTTATTTCCTGCCTCTGTGCCTGTAGAACTGCCCTCACCAACTGTTGCTCCTCATTCAGGGAGATCTCAGATTTCCTTTCTCTATCAAAAAAATCGTTATCCGTCTGCCCTTGAAAACTCAAGCTCAAGGGCTGGCATTTAATCCTCATGCTTGGGAGGCAGAGGTAGTCAGATCTCTGTGAGTTTGAGGCCACCCTGGTGCACATAGTGATTCCCAGACTAGCCAGGGCTACACAGTAAGACCCTGTCTCAAAACAACAAGACATACACACGTTCACAAAACACAAAACAAGCTTACATGTGAGCCCAGGAAGAAATGACCTTTTAACACCGAAGCTCAGGATACTATGCTGGTCTTTCCATGGGGGCTGAGCACCAGGACCCTGTAAATACCAAATGCACATGTCCCCTCATAAAGCAGCATAGGACATGTGTCCACCCTTCTTCACAATGAGCATGCCCAGATAAATGCTGTAGGAGTAACAGTTCTGCTATAATATTTAGGGAGTAATGACAGAAAAATAAGTATATTCGTGTCCAGGACAGACAAAGTTCTTTTCTGGGTAGGGTCTCTCCTGGCTATCCTGGAATTGATTACATAGACCAGGCTGACCTCAAATTCACAGAGATCCTCCTGCCTCTGCCAGGATTAAAGGTGTGCACCACCATGCCCAGCTACTGGGTACTCTTGATCTGTGATTGGTTGAATTCCTGCTTGTGCCCACAGCTGCAGACTGTGTTCATTGAGCAAGCTTGGCTTCCATACAAAGCACCTGAATAGTACTGACTCAGTTACTCCTCCAAACCCATGCGAAGCCAGTGTTACTGCCCCTGCTTCACAGATGAGAACTGAAGGGACAGAGAAGTCATGTCAACTTGCTTAAGGCCACAGACAAAACCAGGACATGGAACGGCACAATTTGGTCCCAAGTCTGTGTTCTAAATGATTGCATAGGCTGCTTCTTCATTAGCAGAGTGGCGACGGTAATCATAATTGAAAAGCTGGTGCTGCTTGGTACATTGAAGCTCACCACCTCCTCTTGGTGGTTTGCACTGGAGTCCCAGTACCCTCTGGGTCTTGGCCCTCAGCACTGGATCTCTTGGCAGGAGTACACTCTTGCCCATTCCTGGGTTGGGACTCATACCTTTCCACCCAGCTTAGATCTGATACAGAGCCTGTGTTGAATTGATTGTCCTTGAGATGGAGTTGGTGTCTATTAAGCCTTCCCACTGCAGTTAACCCAGTGTATAGTCCAGTGACTTAGATGACAGAAATTAATGCTCTCCCTGCTGTAGGGGTCAGAAGGCCAAGATGCAGCCTCTCCTCGCCTTTTGTGAAGGATTTTTCCCTGCATGCTCACATGGATCTTTCCTCTGGACATGTCTGTGTCCTGGTCACTTCTAAATACACCAGCTATATGGGATTAAAGCCCAGTCATATTGCCCCATTTTTACTTTAATTACCTTTAAATGTCCTTTGAATGCAGTCACATTCTGGGGAATTGAGTGTTAGGAAATCAATATAGAACCAGGCAGTGGGGATTGAACATGCCTTTAATCCCAGCGCTCGGGAGGCAGAGCCAGGCAGATCTTAGTTCAAGCCAGCCTGGTCTACAGGGTGAGTTCCAGGATAGCCAAGGCTACACAGAGAAACCCTGTCTCAAAAGAAAAGAAAAAAGATAAAAGGGAACAATATATAATTGTTGAAGGGACACAGTTTAGTCCGTGGTACTCAGGGTCACAAACTCAAATGTTGATGAAAGAGGGCTGGAGAGATGGCTCAGCAGCTAAGAGCACTGGCTGCTCTTGAAGAGGACCCTGGTTCAATTCCCAGCACCCACAAAGTAGTTGACAATCATCTCTAACTCCAGTTCCAGGGACTCAGGTAACCCTTTCTGGCTTCTGCGGGTCCACAGTCGTACATACAAGCAAAGCAACCATACACATAAAAATAAAACTAGTTTTTAAACCAGGCAGTGGTGGCGCACGCCTTTAATCCCAGCACTCAGGGGGCAGAAGCAGGAGGATCTCTGTGAGTTCGAAGCCAGATGTTGTCTACAAGAGCTAGTTCCAGGACAGGCTCCAAAGCTACACAGAGAAACCCTGTCTCAAAAAGCAAAAAAGTAACATTTTCCAATGACAGCAACTAATTCATAAGGCATAGACTCAGAGATTAACTCAGTAGTAGAGTAGTTGCTTAGCATGTTTAAGGCCCTGGGTTTGATTCCCAGCAAAACGCACACACACAAACACACACACGCACGCACACACACACACGCACGCACACACACACACAGTTTGTACCTGCTGCTCCTGCCAAAGGTGCTCACTGGGGCCAGCAGAGCAGGTCTTCCCAGAGAGCCAGGGACTCTAGAGTGGGGATCAGGGCACTCCCAAGCCCTCCAGGGACACCTCCCAGACCTGTGCCTGTGATTGCCTCTGCAGGAAGGTGATGCGCTGGGTGCCATGGAGAAGCTGTGCCGGCAGCTGACCTACCACCTTAGCCCTCATTCACAGTGGAGGAGGCAACGAGGGCTGGTGAAGAGGAAGCCACAGGCCTGGTGAGTGGCAGTCCCTATAGTCTGCCCTGCCCCAGCCCTGCTGACTGATACCCTTTTCCTGGGGCACTGTATTGAGGGCCCAAGCCAAGGGAAATGTCAGTAAATTCATCTTGAAGGAGGGAAAGATCATGCTGGATTTAAGGACCAGAAAAGTAACTTGGTCATTCCAGGTACTTGGGAGATGCTGAAAAGGAGGTCCCTGGGGTAGGGGTTGGGGGGCATGGCCCACAGATTGACAGGTGGAGATGGAACATGAGGAATTTCTGGTTCCTGGTGTTTCTGGTATTCTGGGATAGAAACTAGGCATGGTGGTGTACCTCTGCAATCCTATGCTTTGGAGGCTGAGACAAGAATATTGCTTCAAGGGGCTGGAGAGATGGCTCAGTGGTTAAGAGTATTGCCTGCTCTTCCAAAGGTCCTGAGTTCAATTCCCAGCAACCACATGGTGGCTCACAACCATCTGTAATGGGGTCTGGTGCCCTCTTCTGGCCTAAAGGCATACACACACAGACAGAATAGTGTATACATAATAAATAAATAAATATTTAAAAATAAATAAATAAAAAGAATATTGCTTCAAGTTGTGGCCATCAAAACCTACTTCCAGGGGGCCGGAGAGATGGCTCAGTGGTTAAGAGCATTGCCTGCTCTTCCAAAGGTCCTGAGTTCAATTCCCAGCAACCACTTGATGGCTCACAACCATCTATAATGAAATCTGGTGCCCTCTTCTGGCCTGGAGACATACACACAGACAGAATATTGTATACATAATAAATAAATAAAGAAATAAATATTTTTAAAAAAAAAACCACTTACAGAAAGTTCTCTGGGATGTCCTTCCAGGGAATCTAAAGTCTAGCCTTGTCTCATCCATGCAGCAGTGAAGACCCTCCAGGGTTTTATAGTCCTAAAGACCAAGAGGCTAGAGGGCTCAAGACACAATACCCAGAACGGGTCTCATGGTAGTCAGCGAGTAAGCCCAGGCTGAGGCAGGCTTCCTGGAGGAGGAAGCACTCAGCTTTTTACAGGTAGCACAGGTGAGTGAGTGGCTTGCCTGTTCAGAGACTGGCATGGCCCTGGTTCTATGCCCAGATTATCCAGCTGGCTCCCAGTAGGTTGGAAAGGGCAAGATAGTTCCCTTCTCTCTTAGTTTCATTTCCTGTGGCTTTGATAACACACCCTGACAACAGCAACTCTAAAGGGGAAAGGGTTTATTTGGCTCACAGTTCCAGGTTGCAGTCCATCATGGTGGGGGAGTCAAGATGACAGGAAAGTAAAGCCACTTGTCACATCCATAGTCAGAAGCAGAGAGAAAATGGATGCATGCATGCTTAACTCTCTCTCTCTCTCTCTCTCTCTCTCTCTCTCTCTCTCTCTCTCTCAGCTCTTTTTCCACTCAAACAGCCCTGGACCCAAACCCAGGGAATAGTGCTACCTAACGTTAAACTGACTCCTCCTGTATCAATTAACGTGAGCATCCAGACAATATTCCCACAGACATTCCCAGAGATCATCCTAATCTAGACAATTATGGAGGCCCTTCACAAGTGTTTCTAGACATGGACAATTAAAACTAGCCATCATGGGGCCGGAGAGATGACTCGGTGGGTTAGAGCACTGGCTGCTCTTGTAGGTACTTCAGCTTCAGAGTCCTGCTACCCACATAGACTCACAGCCGTCAGTGACTCCAGGGGATCCAACACCATCCTGTCTCTTCAGGCACATAGTACACAAACGCCCATACACATTAAATAATATTTTTAAAAATTAAATATATGTGTGTATGTCTGTGTAATGATATATATGCATGTGAGTGCTGGCACCCTCGAGAGTCTAGAGGCATCAGATCCCCCGGGAGCTGGAGTTACAGGCAGTTGTGGCTGCCTGACAGGGTCCTGGGAACCAAGTTCAGATCCTCTGCAAGAGCAGCAAGTGTTCATAACTGCTACGCCAGCCACCTCTCCAGTTCTCCCTACCCCTGCACCTTTTTTGATTGGATTGGGAGGGGCTGTTGGGATTTTGTTGTTTATTGTTTGATTTGGGGGTTTTGTTTTTGTTTTCAGACAAGGTCTCACTCTGTAGCTCAGGCTATCCTTTGTGGCCAGCCGAGTAGACCAGGCTGGCCTTGAACTCGCAGAGACCCACCTGCTTCCCCAGTGCAATTCAAGGCGTGCACCACTATGCCCAGGTTTGTTTGTTTTGAGACAAGATCTTTGATATGTAGCTTTGGCTGGCCTGTAACTAACTGTACAAACCAGACAGGCCTCGAATTCATAAGAGATCTGCCTGCCTCATCCTCCCCAGTACTGCCCTCTTTCTGAGATTTTTAAAAATCTCACTTTGTAACCCAAGCTCACAATGCCCCCTGCCTCTGCTTCTTTCCAAGTGTTGGAATAGCAGGTATGTGCCAACATGGCTACCTAGGTCTTCTGTCTGCCAGTGCCCCCACACAGAGGCTCGGTTCATTCTCCATTTGGGAACTGTATGAATGAAACCTGCTCATTCCTCTCAGGGGCCTTCTCATCACACTTGAATGAAATTGAAACAGGCACTGTGTGATCACCAGTGCCTCCTCTCTGTCCTCACTTCTCTATATTCTCTATGTTCCTTCACTTGGGCTACAATGACCCTCGTGCTAGTGTGTGTATACACACACACACACACACACACACACACACGCATGCACACTTGACAGCTACAGAGACTTCCCACTTGACACTGCTTGGGTTGGAACTCTTAGCCAGCTCTTCTAATGGCCCATGCTATTACTCCTCCGATTAACAGCCACAGCCCCAAAGCTACGATGTCATCTGCACCTGTTTCCCATCTTCCCGTGGTAGAAGGAAAACGGGGCTCCTGTCCCCATTGTTCACCATTGTGATGCTGGCGCCTCGGATACTGCCCAGCACATATTAGAGTGAGTAGGGTCGGAAGTTGGTGCCATTTGATTGGCCAAGAGCCTACAGTTGATAAGCAGTGGGGATAGATTCAAATCCACATACACCTGACTCCAGGGTGTAGACTGTCAACCATCTTCAGGATGCTGGGTTGACTTTGTTACTGACACTGACAGAACCCAACACTAATGTCACAACCAACAAATTCCAGGCAGAATTCTAGACCTGCTTTGGAGGGTGTTACCTCCAGATGCAAGCAACAAAATGAGTTAATCTCCCAGCTTCAAGAGGGCCCCAGGGCAGCTGCCTTGGTGCGGCTGTGACCCTTGAGCTGCCAGCAAAGCATACTCTTTTGTGGCAAGTTGAGCTATTCCCAGCGTAGGAGGTCAGGGTTTGCCTCGGGTATTTGGAAACTGAGAGAATAGTTTCACCAAGGGGAACAGGGGTTGGAGGCACACTTACCAAGCCAAATGGTCTGGGCTCCAGAACAAGACAAGGGCAGCAGACAGCAAGGGAGGGCATGGAGGCATCGAGCCTCCGGGAGCCTTTTGCTCTCATCTCTGAAAGCTTACCTCAGCTCTGGAGCAGGTCAGCTGCCAGTCAACTGTGAAAACTCAAGTGACTAACAGTGACAGCATTTACTCATCTGCCTTGTAACACTTAGTATTTAGTGTTCCTCATAACCCTACGATAATGGCAACTCTTTTTTTTTTTTCAAGGCAAGCAACTGAAGCACAGACCTAGCTAGAGAGCACAGGCTAGGAAACCGCAGGCACCACACAGAAACATAGGCTTGGAGAGCGACTGGAATGAGTTTCAAATCCGATGCTCTGCCCACTCTGCTGAGCCTGAAGCAGGTGCTGGGGACTCCCTAGTTTCCCCATCCTGACAAGGGATAGAAGAAATGAGATCCCAGGTCAGAGTTAAGCAGAGGCCAGTTCTGTGGTGATACACGCTACTTGCTCCAATAAAGGCCTGCCCTACTTGCTTAGCCTGTTCCTTCTTTCCTTCAGTCTTAAGGCCCTCCTAGCTGGGAATCCTCCAGACAACATGGTGGACCTGTCAGGCATCCCACTGACCTCACGTGACCTGGAGCGGGTGACCAGCTATCTTCAGCGCTGTGGAGAGCAAGTGGACAGTGTGGAGCTGGGCTTCACAGGCCTCACAGACGACATGGTCCTGCAGCTACTGCCAGCGCTCAGTACCCTGCCTCGCCTCACCACACTAGCCCTCAATGGCAACCGACTGACCAGGGCGCTGCTGAGGGACCTCACTGACACCCTGAAGGACCCCAGCAAGTTCCCAAATGTCACATGGATTGACCTGGGCAACAATGTGGACATCTTCTCTTTACCCCAACCCTTTCTGCTCAGCCTGCGCAAGCGCTCTCCCAAACAAGGTCACCTACCAACTATCCTGGAGCTGGGTGAGGGGCCAGGTACTGGGGAAGAGACCAGGGAAGGCACAAGTGAGCAGGACTCTGAAGGAACCCCTATGACACCTACCAGAGACCATGATAGCAGGGAAATTGTGACTCAGACATGATTTGGAAGCAGGGAGAACTTTTGTCAGGATGGCTAAGGCAGATTAGGGGGTTCTCCCCATCAGGAGGATGCCACCACTCAAACACCAGGATGAGTTCAGAATACTCTGTCCCCAACTCCCAATATCGTGCCACTGGAAGTCATCCCTTGCTCTAGGGATGTCTCCACTCAGGCTGTTCTCCCAGACTTGTGCAGCTGGACCAAGCACTCTCCCACCAGTACCCCTAGATTTAGGGTAACTAAGACCCTTGGGGAATCTCCCCAATTCCAGGGGCCTCTTGAAGAGGGTGTGTGGCTTAAGAGCATTATCCAGTTCAAGCTGCAGGCCTCCCTTGCTTGACTGGGGAACTTACTGTGAAGGGCAGTACCATGCCTAGCTCCCTTTCCCCCCCCAACCAGCACAACTTTTTCCTTTCTACCAGCCAAGTTCCAGACCTCATTCCCAGGATTTAGTCCCTGGAATGGCTTTTCAAGCACTTGATCCTTATCAAAGGCTACAGGACTAGTTCAGCCCTAGCCTTCAACTATTCTCCCAAAATGCTCCCTCCTTATCTCCCACAAACAGCTCCTATGCTCACAGGCAGAACCTTGGTGGTTATCAACTTGGGGAATCAAAGCCTTACAGGCTAGGTAAGCAAGCAGGCTGAAAGGATCTGGGTGAGTTAGGGAGCTTACATGGTACTGCATAAATCGTCAAAGGACAGGAATTGAAGTGTGGGTGCCTTAAATGCTTTGGAGCCTTTGCCCAAGTCTTAGGTTGTGAAAACAGCTCAGACTGACCAGAAGTTTACAGCGCTAAAGCTAGGCTGCTTAACACCTGACAAATCTCACTCTTCAAATACAAGTTTTTAAGGACCAGCACCAAAAGCCCTGCTTTACTGTAGCGTCGCTGATTCGGGTAACACACATTTTGACTTGTGAATTCAGCTGATACAGTGGCAATCATTTTGGAAACAAATTTATTAAGCAGTGTAAATGCCCTGTGGGGCAGAATGATATCAGAGGTTTCTGACCAGGGCAAGGTCAGCAAATACATGGGAGTTTTTCATAAAAGGTTGCTTTCAGTCAGAATCTTGAGTTGATCACAGTACTGTTGCTGGGACTCCTCTGGAGACAGCCTGCAAAGAGACTAAAGTTCAGAATCACATTTGCTCCAACCAATGGCCTTCAGAACACCTAAAGATATCTTCAGAGAACCATAGGCTCACCACTACCAATCTGCCGGTAATTCCAGCTATTTTTAGGTGATCTCATCATTTGATATCAGAGTACTGACAGCTCAACTAGCTGCTGGGTGATCACTGCACAGAGCAAGCTTACCTCCTCCTTCACCACTGCTGCAACACAAACTGCATTCCAGCACTCAGTCCTCAAACTTGAGAAAGGGACACTCCTAAAATGGACTGCGGACACAGGATGGATTAGTGACAGCCCCACTGAAGTCCAGATCTAAGCACAACCTACCAAGAGTACCGAAAACCTTACAAAGGGTGTATTTTAAGTTATTAAAATGTAATTTTAACCACCAGTGAAATGGCGTCCGGTAAACCAGCCCAAGGTTCAACCCATATGACAGGATCAGGTTGGGAAGATGCAACTGGACCAGGCTTGATTCCCAGCACTCAGAACCACCTCTAGGGCCCTTTTCTAGCCTCCAAGGACAACACAGATAAAGATGGCCAGGTGCACACCCCACCCTGTTTTAGCCCAACTATAACCAGCACTAAGTACAAGCATTCCAAGTCAGGGAAGCTTAGGGTTGTACACTAACATTACAGTAACCAAATCAAACTGACAAGGTCCGGCCCAACTAAAATCAAGGAAAGCGTACCTCATGGAAGGCCACGGCTGCGGGCAGTCCCTCCACTCCAAATTTCCTGCCTAGAAAGATAGATCAGTTGTTATAGTAGAGGCCGAGTTAATCCTAACCGCCAGACACTGGGGAGAGCTCGACTGCAGTCAGCCAGGTACAGTTATCGTCAGTTATCGCCTCTGACGGCACTTCCTATAGCGATCTCATCACAGCAGTCAAGCGTTCAGGTGTTGCACTCCAACCCGTGCCTCCAGCCATGAACTGGAGACACTTTGTAAATTCTGCAGTGCCCGTGCGGGTGGGTGCGCAGGTCTCCCCACCTGGGCACAGTACGATACAGGAATAGGCCTCTTAGCAACTGAGCTATCTAGGTTAAGAATGCTTCTGCATAAAGCATGGCCGGAGGCCACAGGTAGCAAAATTAGGATTTTAGACACATCGTGACCAATGGCCTCAGAAACTCTTACCTCAGGGTGGGATCCTGCGCCTCCTGTTCGACATTCTGTTTACTCCCGGTCTGAAAGGTTAAAACAAGAGTCCAGAGCCAATTCGAACACTCGCGCTCAGCAGTCAACCGCCGAGGGCTGACGACTGCGGTCAGCTAAGGGAGCTCGTCAGTTATCGCCTCGGACGGCACTTCCTAATCCTAATTATCATCAGAGCAGTCGCCACCCCGTCCGCCAGTGGTGCCCCGGGACGCAGACCCCGACCTACCCGGCTCCCTCAGGTGTGCGCGGCGCCCACGGAGGGGTTGGAAGATCGGGCCGCAGGCTCCGCATCGCACATGCTCCGTTCTGCTAGGCCCAGGGGCCAGACACAGCTACGAGATGCAAATGTAAACGTCATGGCGTGCGCCGAAAGAGACCGTAGACGGTGTGTGCCCCCATCTTAAGGGCTCGGAATAGACCACTTCTCACCCGAGGGAGGGTGAAGGTGGCAAGGGCTCACGGGAAGTTCCCGTGCACTAGGTCCGCCTCGCGACCCACGACTCCCCCATTCTGTTGAGCGAATGGTCTCTGCCGCCCCAGGGATTCTGGGTAGTGACGAGCGCAGCGAGGTCCAGCGCGCCTGCGCCAAGGCTAAAGCGCGGGTTTCTGAGTGTCTGCCGTGGTCTGTTATTCTAAGTGCTTTGGAAACGCATGTGGAGTTAGATCTTACAGCGCAGGCCTGAAATCACAACTGTTTAGGAGTCTGAGGCAGGAATTTGAGTCCAGCCTAGGTGATTTAGTGATCCCTGACTCAAAACAAAAGAAAAAGGAGGAAGGAAAAGGGAGCCAAAATAATCTAGTTGGGTAGTGGAGAGCCTGCGGGCCTGGGACTGGAGGGCTAAGACATTGTTCCGGGGCCTGCCTGAGATAACACACCCAAAACTGCTTTCAGAGACAATAAAAAACAGTAGCTGCCACTTAAGGATTCGGGCCGTTCTGCCCCAATTTCTGTTAAAGTATATCCACATAATCTTTCAAGACCCTATGCAGGCAACCCTCATCACATTTCTTAGAGAATTATAGTCAAGAGGAAGTCTTGTTGGGTCTATTTTCGTTGTCCCTGGCACTTTCTGCATCAGGTTTATCTCATAGGCAATAGAAAACTGCTGATGCTATCCCATCAGTATGCGAGCTTGTTAGGGTGTTTCTTAAGGGTTGGGTCCATAGCAAGCATGAAGTTCTTAGTTCCTAGTTCCATCCCCAGCACCTCATAAACTGGGTATAGTGGCAAACTCCCAAGTTCTGGGAATGTGGAGGCAGCAGAATCAGAAGGTCAGGGTCTTTTTCAGCTATATAGAGAGTTTGAAGGCAGCCTGGGTTACATGAGCCAGTAATCCTAGCACACAGGAGGCTAGAGGAAGGTTCTTGTAAATTCAAGAACAACCTGGCCTACAGAGTGAAAACCTGTCTCCAAACACCTCAGTGCAAAGTCTGATAGGGCTATTATATACGAGATGTGTTATATACAAGATGTATCATATATGAGATGTTCCAGCCAGCAACACACACATCTGTGATTGCATACACTTCATATGGATTTTTTTTTTACTTTTTGTTTTGTGTTTTTTTTTTTAAGACAGAGTTTCTCTGTGTAGCCCTGGCTGTCCTGGGACTCAATTTGTAGACCAGGCTAGCCTCACACTCACTGAGATCTACCTGCCTCTGCCTTCCGAGTGCTGAAATTAAAGGCGTGGGGTTCCATGAGCAGGAACACATATTCAGGTTTCCCCATGTTCCATTTTGGAAGTGGGTTCATGCATGTTTTTAGTAACGGAACAAGGAGAGTCATTTGGAAGGGACCATAGTTGGCCAGTTACAGCAAAGAAGGGCACTGTCTGCTGTAGGTTTCAGGTGCTATCCAGTGACCTTCTTAGCTTCTGGGTTTGTGGAAACTAGTGGTCTGCTAAGAATAGTTGGTGTAAGGTTTTGATAGTCGCAAAACTGTTAAGTCAGACTTGGGGGAGAGGGGTCAAAGAAACCAAAAATAGCACAAGATCATTTGACTCTGGTTTGAAAGACAATTTCAAACAAGTCATTTGGCCTTGAATCTTTAGCGTAGGTGCAGCTCTCCCCTTGCTCTCTTCCTTCTGGGAGTTTCAAGTCATAGAAACGTCTACAAATGCCAAGTCAAAGTCAAACATGAGGCCCTTCAGGCTTCGTGAATGATGAAGAGAAAGTACTAAGGACTTCTCATCAAATTCCCCTAGAAGCATAAGGTGTAGGGGGGAGTCTGAGAATCACAGCAAAAACGTGCAAGGCTGGGGATACTTCTCTCGGGCTTTCAGAGTTCAGAGGTAGCTTGCCTGTCTTCTGTCTCAAGAAGGCCTCTCTGGCTTTCCTGCAAAGAATCATCAGGGGGAGGCAGAAAGCTGAAGGCCAGGTGGATGAAAGAGTGGTAACCCAGCGCTTAGCAGAGACTTAGTCGTCCTCCAGGTGGGAAAGTGGCTTCATTCATACCCAACTCTCAGCCTGCCACATGCTGAAACCGGGCTGGAACTGAGGCGTGGCCAGCCAGTGAGGTTTCTGAGCAGACTAGCCCCCGAGCCAGGAGGGCACTTAGAGACACAAGCACATATCACCAGGTGCCAGGTCCCCGTGATTTTGTTCAAATAATACTTCTAGAACACTTAGTTATGCAAAAAAAATATTTATATTTCCACCAAAATTCAGTAGCCTCGGAGCTAGTGGGGGTGGCTGGAAGGGTCCCCTACTCTGCTGTGCCAGCCTTCTGCCACGTCTGGGCCATCAGTGGGACTGGAGGACCTGCAGGGGCAGGTGATCTTTCTCTGTGGCGTGGCTCTTCCCAGGTTTAGAGGTTGGGTTCTTTTCATAACCTGTGAACAGAATGAGGAACACTGTGGCTTTGCCCTTGGTGCATCCCCTGGCAGTAGGTGCCAGGGAAACAAGAAAGGGCCACAACACAAAAGACTGCCATGTTCTGAGTATAACAGTCAATCCTGCAGTCCCATCTCCCCACTTTGTTCCTGTTACCAGAATCTCCTGAACCCCTTCCTTGGGCTATTCACGGTCTCACCACAGGAACCCAAAAGGCCCCAGAGCTGACAGGCTCTATCAGAAACTGGAAGATCTGAGACATGCTGAAGAACAGGGAGAAAAGAGGGAACCCTTCTTTAGTGTTGGGGTGGGTAGAGACACCCTGAGAAAAGGAGAGCACAGAGAGAGACAAGAAGGTGTCAAGGAAGCAAAGAACAAAGAGTATCACAGTGTGAATGGCCACCGTGTTGACAAAACCCTGAGGAATGAGTCAGACAACCGCTCTGGGCCTTGAGCTCCATGCTGAAGACTATTGCACCCTCAGGGGCTGTGTAGTGGGGGCCCTGTGATGTCCTTGTCTACATTAGCCAGAATGGAGTGAGACAGACCTGAAGCAGAAAGCTTTGTCTGAAGGTGGAGGTACATGCTTGTAGCTACTGAGACACCTTGCAATGGGTACAGAGGTGCAAGGGTAAGGGGATGACTGAGAGGCCAAGGACGTCAGCATAGGTAGGAGGGGTGAACAGAGATCCCCCATCTGGGTGTGAAGAGTGGAGCTATGTACATGCTGCCTGCTAGGCCAACCCCAAGACTGTGCAGTCAAGCTGGCACAGCAGGGTTTGGGAGTGGGATTTGGGTATGGAATACCTAGACCAGATGGGGGACAAAATGATTCAGTATCCTGGCATGGCATGAAGGGGTAGAGAAAGTGGAAAGAAAGCCTTGGGGTGGGAATAGGAGGTAGGAAATCTGAAGGCTTTGGAGCAGCACAATGCCAGGAGCCTCCTTGAAACAGGTCACACGCAACTCAGGAGGGGAGTAAGGAGAGGGTCAGGGCATTTGGCAGGGAAGAGAGGGAAAACTGAGGAGACCCCCCTGAAAGCTGTGGAGAACATCCCTGGGTTGGGAGGGAGGAGTCTTGGAGGAGGCAGAGGGGTGGAGACAGGAAAGGTTAGTACTGTGCTAGACCAGAAAGACTAATGAAAAGGTCAAATGCCGTAGAGACTTACAGGAAGTGACGTGTGTGTGTGTGTGTGTGTGTGTGTGTGTGTGTGTGTGTGTGTGTTTTGAGACAGGGTTTTTCTGTGCAACGGTTCTGGCTGTCCAAGAACTCGTTCTGTAAACTAGGCTGGCCTTGAACACACAGAGAGGCCTCTGCCTCCCCAGTGCTAAGATTAAAGGCAGCGTGCACCACTACCATCTAGCAGGAAGTGATTTCTACTGTGGAGTTAAGAGGGCGGTGCTTATGCAGTGGTGGAAATCTCAGGGCAGGTAAGCTGGCCTCTCAAGCAAAGCAGTGACCCAGGGTGATGCCACCCCTGTGGTAGGCCAGGCCAGGATGGGGCCTAGAGGGAACATACTCCCTGACTTAGTCCCCAGGCCTGGACAAAAGGTGTGAGCGCACAGCCGCTGAGCAGCCACACAGCAGGGCTGAGTCCCGCCCTGGCCTCTCAAAGGCTGTGTTGCCAGCAAACCCACAGCACATGCTCACAAGAACCAGGGCAAGGACTGGTCCCAAGCCTACTCACCAGGGCTGCTTGCCCCCGTCGGATCCTCAGACAAGGTGGGAAGGGTCTTCTCCCACGCAGCCCAGTTCACCTCCTCCACCCTGCAGTTGACAAAACAGCTCTAATGTTTGGGGAAAGCTAGCAGCACCTAGCAGCAGCCTTTGCCCTTGGGAGGGATCACCTCCCTCTCCCAGGGGATTGTACGGTGAGGAAGACGGAAGACGATTTTGTTTTATTTGTTTCTACCCTTCCCTAACAAGGCATTGGTCCACCCACATCCCACAAGCTCTGTCCTTGTGACGCTCGGATTACATACAGCCCCTAAGGTCAGATGTGTACAAGGAGGGAGAGGTGCCCTTTTCTCCAATTGTTCTCAGTGTCTGGGTTTCTCAGAGCAACCAGAGGCAAGGGAGTGAGATTAGGTGTATCTTTTTGTTTGCTTTTTGTTTCTGTTTTTCCAGACAGAGTTTCTCTGTGTAGCCCTGGCTGTCCTGGAACTTGTGGTGTAGACCAGGCTGGCCTCAAACTCACAGAGATCCTCCTGCCTCTGCCTCCCAATTGCTGGGGTTACAGGTGTGCGCCACCACTACCCGACTGATCAGGTGTATCTTTGGGCTTCAGGTTCTGGGCTCTTTTGTGGCTGCTTGTCACGAATATGGCCCTCATCTTCTCCCTTGCTCAGCTGCTGCCTGTAAAGGTGTCGGCAGTGACTGGGCTTTAGGTACCACATTCCCTGTCATGGCGATTCCCTCTTCTCTGAACACTGAAAAGCTTGGTTACCATGGAAGGGGATATAGCTCCAAGATCAGACTGGAAGATCTATAGATGAGGGTAGCCATAGT